TTTTTTGTTTCTTATAGAGATTCTTGTGAAATTAATTTTATATTTTTTATATAATTTTATTTGTTAATAAAGATAGTGTATTTTTCTCTATGCATGGACTTTTGAATAAATTTTAGAATAACATTATTTATTCTTTTTTATATTGATATAATTCATATGGTTTTTAAATGATAGTAGCTAAAAGCATATTTTAGATAATTTTTCTCAAACCTTTTTAAAAAATCAATTACAAAATTGAATTCGTGTGTTTTATTTGCTTAGTATTCATATAATTAAAATTAACCAAAATTAATTTTATAATCTTTTTTTATTTCGGTCTATTAACTTTAATATATTCTTTGTAATTTATTTTATTTATTTATTTAGTTATTTTGCATACTTTGAACCCACTCGAATATAGCCAATGGTGTGTGTGTGCGTGTATATAAAAAATAAGATAATTGGTTTTATTATAGATTAATTACGTATCTACACATATAACACAAACCATTTGTTATTATTTTTTTTTTGGTAACATTCTAAAATCAATTTCTTTGAAATAAAATAATTAAAATACATTTTTAGGAGAATCATCAAAAGATTCAAATAAAGTTTTTTTATACTAATGTTATTGATTATTTTGTGAAAAAATATATAGAAAATTAAATGTACTTATTTTTGTTTAAAATAATCTTTTCATCGTAATTAAATAAGAATGAAAAAATATTCATTTGTTAGTTTTTATACAATTTTTATATTAATTTTTGCTTATTTTTTCAATACAATTTTATGAAAAAAAATATTAAGGAAGTTTTAAAAAAATTAGATTAAATATTATATTTAGATTATTGCAAGTTCTTATTTAAAAATCAATACATAAAAAAATAAAAAAAATCATGTTTTTTAACTATAAAATCTATGAAAAACACAAAGAAGAATAAATTATAAAATTAGATGATTTTTTTTTTTATCTTTAATTCAATACATTTTAGTAGAGCGGCAATGTAGTACATGTTATCGACTTAAAACTATTTTTCAAATGATGTCACATATTCTGTTCAACCCATAACGTAGCGCAAGCAACAAACTAGTTATGGACCAAACAAGAAGACAAGAAGAAGATGATGGATTATTAAGAGAGTAAATTATAGATTAGTTCATCTAGTTACCGACTAATGCACTTGGGAGTAGACATGAATCTAATGAAAAACATACTAGGCATACAAAATTGTGTTTGAAATGATTCTGTTATTGATAAAGGTAAAATTGATTGCCGGATTAATAATTGATGAATGACTTATTAAGCATTTGAAAATAAAGGAAAAATTACAATGGACCATCAGAGCCAACAAACGGGCTCTAATTAATCATGATAAATTTAATAAATATTGCTCTTAAAATTTTGTATCCAAAAAATCAAGAAAGAAATCGAACATGTTTAACCACTAGGCTAACCCTTAAATAGCGTTTGAGTACAAGAAATAAAATAATAGAAATGAACATAAAAGTTTTATTCTCAGTTCTCATTGTACAATTGTTTGGTTAAAAAAATGAAGTAAGAGCCTATTGGACTTTTAATATTTTTAGGATTTATTTAACAAACTTTCCTTGCTTAATTTAATTCGAATTTTTATGTACGTTGCATTTGTTAATTTTTAGCTTAGGTTTAAAATTTTAGGATTTTTTTTTGAAGTTCATTTACCCTTTATTTTGAATTTGTTTGGTTTTACGCCTAGTTGTTAATTGCTTTAATTATCTAAATTTCAGTTAGCCTTCTATTTAATTTTATTTGAAATTTTCAATGTGTGATTGTATGTTTGTATATAAGTTGTGTGTTAAATTTCTTAATTTTTATGAATTAATTTTCTATCTATTTAGCATTGGTTATTTCCTTTATGGTCTATTATTTAATATTTGTAAGTTTAATTAAGTAATTGATCCGATGACGGATCGTCGAGTCTCTTAAATTGAAGGGACCGATGATGATCCTCCATCAAATCTGTAATGCTAAAAAATTTCAAAAAGAAGAAGAAGATAAAATGATATTTACAAAAACAAAAAAAAGGTAAAAAAACGAAAGAGATAGAGAGAGAGAGATTTATACTAATTTAATGAGTCTCCTATCCAACGGGGATAGACGTTATTAATTAATTTAAATCAATCACTTTTAGTAATTAGATCGTTTTTCAATGTATCGGTTATATCGAGACTTTAACTAGAGTCGATGTTGAATTGACGAAACTCCCAACATTGGGGTCCAATGATTAATTCAATACGATACCATTGTAAAAAATAAAAAAATTAATTTGGTTGAGACGATACGTGAACTTGGAAATAAACTCAAAAACAAATCGACAAAGAATAGATATATAATTTTTTAAGAGATATGTTTTTAGGATTAAACTAGACATAATATATTTTCTTGAAAATTATGCCTTTAAGTGATCAATATCATTCAAAAGGCACAATCAACTCATTACTCTAGAATCTCTAAATTTAGTTTTATTTTTAGGTTTTCTAATTTTATTTAATACTAGGCGGTGACTCCAAAAATATATGTTGGTATATAAGTTGTTTGTTAAATTTCTTAATTTTTGTTAATTAATTTCCTCCTTAATTAGCATTGGTTAATTTTTTATGGTCTATTATTTAATGTTTGCAAGTTTAATTAAGTAATTAATGTGATGGAAGATTGTCGAGTCTTTTTGATTACGAGGGACCGATTACGATCCTCCATCAAATTTGTAGTGCTAAAATATGTTAAAGAAGAAGAAGATAAAACGATAGTAAAAAAAGAGAGGGTAAAGGAACAAAAAACGAAAAAAGAAAAAGAGAGAGAGAGAGTTTTAAACTAATTTAACGAGCCTCCTATCCGATAGGGACAAACGTTATTAATTAATCTAAATTAATCACTCTTAGTAATTAGGTCGTTCTCTAACATACCGATTATGTGGAGACTTTAACTACATTCGATGTTGAATTGAAGAAACTCGTACATTGAGGTCCGACGATTAATTCAATATGACGCCACAATAAAATAAAATAAAAACTAATTTGGTTTAGACAATATGTGAACTCGAAAATAAACTCATAAATAAATTGGCAAAAATATATATTTTTTTAGAAGATATATTTTTAGTATTAAACTATACATGATACTTTTCTTCGAAAATGATGTCTTTGGGTGATCAATATCTTCCCAAATGCATAACCAACTTTTTATCCTATAATCTCTTAATTCAGTGCTCTTTTTAAGTTTTTTAATTTTCTTTAATATTAGGCGATGACTCTAAAAATACAGAGTTAACTTACGTCACTAAAAATAAACAAAATAATCAAAACAAATAAACCATATAAATTTTTGGAAGTCTTTTAAATGTTGGATAGTGACAACTTCAATGAGGAGATATGAGAATGAAAACAAAAAATGAGAATAAGTTTTTATTTTTATTTTTTTCTTTTCAAAATAGTGATGTGTTGTTTATATGTATTGTATATCAATTATTTCTACCACCATCATGCTCACACCACCACCACCACCACCCCCTAATACTGATTGGCGATGGTGATAGAAAAATTAATATTCCATCACCACCCATCCTACACCACCAACACTTTATTATGTCGTCACCGCCACCGCCACTACCTCATGTGGTGGTGGCATCATTTTTTGAAAAATATAATATTGATGTTATTGTACTATGATTGTTATCACCATCACGACACTGATTTGCGAGGTGATAAAAAGAAATTATTTCAGCATCACTTCTCATCTATCACTATTGATACTTTTATTGTGTCACTACCACTATTTTTCTTTCACTATCACCTTGCGTAGTGATGTCATCATTTTTTTTAAATATATATTATTGTTATTACTGTACTTCTGTTATCACCGTTACCACTAACACTACCTCTTCCTCCTCCTCCACCTCCATTACCATCGTTGGTGTTGCCATCACACTACTTTTATTATTTTTAATACTATTATAGATAATGAAATTAATTTTTAATTGTTATTCTTATTCACTGTAAAAAACTAACTATTAGAAATTTTAAATTTTATTTTGGTTTTTTAATTATTATTTCAAACTCAATATGTGAATAATTTGATTTTATAATTTTCATTCTAACTTTTTTATATTTTCATTTCAGATTTTTTATTTCTTTTAATTAAATCACACATTAGAGTTATTTGATAATTTTGTTGTACAACATATATACAAATGGTGTGTGTATATCAAAATTTAGTTTAGTTAAAAAAAATAAATAAAAGTCCATGTGTATAATAGTAGTAAACTCATACAAAGAAAATTTATGACATTTAATCACAAATAGCTTTGTTTACCACAGGAGATCTAAAAAATAACCTAATCATGCCAAAAAATTAACAATTTATTAAGGCAATCAATGATGGTTATTATGAATTTTCCATCATCTTCCTTCTTTCAATTTTTTTCTCACTTTTTACCATAACAGTAAAAAAGAAATTCGAACTGAGCACTCTTTCACTGCAGACACCAACCATGACACGCGCTCTTACATCGCGCGTCAATATCCTATCAGTTACCACTTTACCTCAAATCTGGACCCCACACACCATCAAATCCAATGGCTGATATCTCTCCATCACACAATCTTAGGGTTTTCACAGTAACCCTCTCTATATCATCCTCTCGAAGCCCCAAAACTCTTCCCTTTTTTATTGCAGCCCCCACCACCGCCCTCCCTCTCTTTCTATCTCCATATCTCCGCCGCCCCCGCCACCACCGCTCTCCTCCGGCGGCCAATATCTCCTCCTCCTCTATCACCTTCCCTCTCCTCCGTAAAACCCAAAAAAAAAAAAAAGCAAAAAAGAAAAGCAAAAAAATTAAAACTTCTCTCTTAGGCATTTTATCGACAGCTGGTGTGTGTTTTTATTGTTGTAATAAAAAGAGGAGAGGGAAGATATATCAAAATCCACAAAAAAATCAAAACTTTTTTTGAGAAAAGCAAAAAAAAAAAAAAAAAAGGGGGCGGAAATGGCACAGGTTCAAGTACCGGTTCAGCCACAGAGTGTGAATGGAGGGGCTAATAACCCAAATTTTGTAACGACGTCGCTTTATGTGGGTGATTTGGAACCTAACGTGACTGATTCCCAGTTGTATGATCTGTTTAATCAAGTGGGTCAAGTGGTTTCCGTCAGGGTTTGTAGGGACTTGACGAGTCGGAGGTCCCTTGGTTATGGTTATGTCAACTACAGCAATCCTCAAGATGGTTAGTTTCTGTCTCTGTTTGCCTTGTTGTTAAAAGTTTTTGAGTTCTTTAGTTGGTGATCATTAAGTGGAGAAAATGAATGGTATTTGTTGGTTTTTGTTAGGTTATAGTATTAATGGTACATTTAATTGAGTGGCTTTATGGGTATGAATGATGTTATTGTGTTTGATATATTTTTTAGTGTAAAGCTCCAAAGTTCAGTAGGTTTGGGAGGGTTTTTCAACCGGGCTTCTTGACCGTTGAAGAATTTATACATGTTATTAGGGTTTAGACTTGGTTGAAATTGATAATGAATAATGCATTGGTACCCTTGATGTTTTGCATGCAGAGGATGTGTTTTGAGTTGTTTGAGTTGAAGAGTGTCATTTTTTGTCTTCCTTATGTGTTGTATTAAATTCCATTTGTTCACTTCTGTATTCTGTGGAACATGTTGACAGCTGCAAGGGCATTGGAAGTGCTGAATTTCACTCCACTTAATGGAAATCCAATTAGGGTTATGTATTCCCATCGTGACCCAAGTATTCGCAAAAGTGGGGCTGGAAATATATTTATTAAGGTATTTGTATTTGATTAAATCATTTTGCTTGTTTCCATGGCTACGTGTATAACTTTTGGGATCCGCGAGTTCCATTTCTATTTCTTGTCTGACTTTATGAATGCATTGCTTGACAGAATTTGGACAAGGCAATTGACCACAAAGCACTGCATGATACATTTTCGGCATTTGGGAACATTCTTTCTTGCAAGGTTGCTACTGACCCCTCTGGCCAGTCAAAAGGCTATGGGTTTGTGCAGTTTGACAGTGAGGAAGCTGCCCAGAAAGCAATTGAGAAACTGAACGGCATGCTGTTGAATGATAAGCAAGTTTATGTGGGACCATTCCTTCGCAAGCAGGAACGGGAGACTGCTACTGACAATACAAGATTCAACAATGTTTTTGTGAAGAATCTATCTGAAACAACGACTGAGGAGGATTTGAACAAAGCTTTTGGTGAATATGGAACAATCACCAGTGTTGTGGTGATGAGAGATGCAGATGGCAAATCTAAGTGCTTTGGATTTGTGAACTTCGAGAATGCAGATGATGCTGCTAAAGCAGTTGAAGCTCTTAACGGAAAGAAATCTGATGATAAGGAATGGTTTGTTGGGAAAGCTCAGAAAAAATATGAAAGGGAAGTCGAATTAAAACAACGATTTGAGCAGAGCATGAAGGAAGCAGCTGACAAATTTCAGGGTGCAAACTTGTACGTAAAAAATTTAGATGATAGCATAGGTGATGAGAAACTTAAGGAGCTGTTTTTTCCATTTGGTACAATCACGTCTTGCAAGGTATGCAGCTTTTGAAGTTTTGAGTAGCTAACCAGGTACAGGTGTATACAATTTCACCTGTTTCATGAACATGTTTTCATGTGCAGGTTATGCGAGATCCAAATGGAATAAGCAGAGGATCAGGGTTTGTAGCATTCTCAACTCCTGAAGAGGCATCTAGAGCTGTAAGTTGATACTTTTTCTGTTCATTCATGAAGGTCCTATTACACTAATATCTTTGTTATTTTGATAGCTCTTGGAGATGAACGGGAAAATGGTTGTTAGCAAGCCTCTATATGTTGCACTTGCACAAAGAAAGGAAGATAGAAGAGCCAGGTTGCAGGTATATTTTCTTCATATGTGTTATCTTTTATTCTCCTTTGTTTTTTGTAATTGTCCAGCTATGCTATCTTTACTTTTTGATTCTTGCTGATCCTTTGAGGTGTTATGTTCTTGTTCCTTGTAATACTCATTTTCTTGTATGTTCGTATCTGATGGATTTGTGTTTATCAAGCAGGCACAATTTTCTCAAATGCGACCAGTTGCAATGGCACCTTCGGTTGGTCCACGTATGCCAATGTACCCCCTACTGGTCCCGGTCTTGGACAGCAAATATTCTATGGACAAGGCCCACCTGCTATCATGCCACCACAGGTAACCCTTTCTACTCATGCTGCTCATGAGTAATTGAATAGCTGTTTGTATAGATGTTCTTTTTCTTTTTCTGTTTTTGTCACTAATTGGTTGGAACCCATTTGCCAATTTGGTAAAAAATTGTGTTCTCGCTTGAAAGTGCCTTTTGTAATGATTTGTGCTTTTATCAGCCTGGATTTGGGTATCAACAGCAGCTTGTGCCTGGTATGAGGCCTGGAGGGGCTCCTATGCCAAATTTCTTTATGCCAATGGTTCAGCAGGGGCAGCAGGGTCAGCGTCCTGGTGGTCGACGGGCAGGAGCTGGCCAGCAATCCCAGCAGCCGGTCCCCCTAATGCAGCAGCAGGTTGGTAGTGTCTTCTCAATAATTAATGGTGATGGCAAAACCCTTTTGTCTTATGGTTTTGTATAAATGACAGATGCTTCCTAGGGGGCGTGTTTATCGCTACCCTCCAGGACGTGGCTTGCCTGATGTTCCAATGAGTGGTGTTGCTGGAGGCATGCTTTCAGTTCCATACGACATGGGTGGTATGCCAATGCGTGATGCAGCATTGTCTCAGCCAATCCCCATAGGGGCTTTGGCTACTGCACTTGCAAATGCTGCTCCAGATCAGCAGAGAACGGTATGCACGATCCCTATGTTATTTGCATATTCATTTCTTATTTAGCTGCCCCCATTTGATAGGTTAGGATGGGCAGGCCACTTGGCTGATACTGTCAAGTTCAGTCACTTGTGCTGTTCCATATGGTGCATAGTAACACATGATGCGTTTGTCATTTTGTAAATTTTAGTACTTTCTTTCCTGAAACCGGAGGTATGTGGGTTTTTGTTGGACAAGCCAGAAAGAAAGATATGGCCATCACCCGAGAACGAGTATTTTCTGGATACAGTAGTGGATCTGTATGTTCCTAAGGAAAATGTTTGATCATGTTCCAAATCCCATCAAATGTTTTGAATTCAATGATTTAGGTGAGAAAGATACTTAATCGAAACTGCCATTTTATCTTGCGCTAAAATCATGCTCAGTCATGTTGACTTTAATAATAGTATAGATTTAAGGAACATGACAAAATGTTACTAAATGCACATGAGAGGATGCCGATCCTAATCCCTAATGCCTCTGCTGAAGAGGGAAGTGGAATGAATGTGGTGACCTGATATATCTGATACTTGTTTGTTACATAATTTTATGGAAGGAATATCTAAATACCTTTAACTTGATGATGCATAACTGTAGATGCTGGGAGAAAATCTGTACCCTCTTGTGGAACAGCTGGAGCCTGACGCGGCAGCTAAAGTGACCGGCATGCTTCTGGAGATGGATCAGACTGAGGTTTTGCACTTGCTTGAGTCGCCAGAAGCTCTCAAAGCCAAGGTTAATGAGGCAATGGAGGTTCTAAGGACTGTTCAGCAGCAGGCCGCTGGCACAGCTGATCAAATAGCTTCATTGTCATTGAATGACAACCTTGTGCCCTAGGTAGAGCTTGGGCATTGTTTTCGAGACTCCGGATATGAAACCATTTTAGATATGGCTTTGATACATTTTAGACTTGATTCCTTGGTAGCTTAGGCACCGGTTTTGGCTTATTTTGAGTTTCTTTCAGAAGTTATTTTGAAGATTGGGATGCTTATGCTTTAATTTTTGTTATGCGAGTGACATTTCTGTTGCTTTAATATGTTTGTATGATGTTTCATCTTAAATTTATGGCTGATAATTGATTTAAGAAGTGAGAAATCTGGATTATATTATGTAATGGTGTGCAGAATTGCGAATTGGAAGAGCAGTAACTTGTTAAGTGGATAACCCAGGGTCTAATTTGAAAGAAAGTCGTTCTATGAATGGTTCAGAATGTTTTGGCCTAGGAACCAGAGACGCATGAGAGGATATCTATCCCTGTGTTCTTGCTGTCAATTAGGTGAGGTTTGTGCTTCACAATCGATTATCTCACTGTCAGTACTAGTAGAGTTAAAATTAACCAATTGAAAAGCATGCGGTATTTCGGTAGGGCAAATCGCTGAGATATTTCCTTGGCATTTCCACTGGGCCGAGTTGATGTGGCATGTCTTTACCATCTGATGAGGAAAGACTTGAGTGTCGGTGTTGTGGTTTGACTGGTTTCTTAACAAGACCAGGTAATGGAGACCGAATTCGATGAAAGACTGAAGATCAAATTCTTAGCCTTGGACACAGATTCCAACGTAACATCCTAACCAAGTAATGATCAACAGTTACAACCAAAGCCAATTCCTTTCAATCGTGAAGGCGCGAGGTTTTACCCTCTCCAATCCAATAAAAAGTGAACTCTGCCACTTCCAAAATCAAGTAAAGTTTGAATTTTAAACCGAAGCACACCAGAGGCGATATGGTCCCATTCAAAGCAATTGGTGGTTACATCGTTGTTAACAAGGGATGACCAGTAGTTTTCGCAATCATACATTACGAGAGCATCCACGCAAAACAGAACCTCATTAAACTGAATCACCTGAATGTTCTCTTGTAATTTTCTAATCTAACACGTATAATATGCACAGAAACAACAACGGTCACGAGCACATTTCGGGGAAAAAAAAAAAAAAAACCCAACGGTACATCCTATAGACACAATGAGGCTATCGATCCCATTACTGGTATCAGCCTTGGCAACATTAAAACTAGTGCATAAATTAAGCATCCTGTCGATTAGCACGTCTTAATCTCATTCCTACATCAGCTTCCCGAATCAAGCCAGTGCCCTGCGAATTTAAAATTTGTGCTTCGGAGGAAGTCCCAGACTCATTTTGCTTCTCTTCTATATCCTCCCCATAGTTATGAAGCCTGCGTCCAACGAGATAGCGATCATCTCGAATGGAATTGTGAAGGTTGGTGAACCAGACATGGAATCTTTTGGCACAAAAGCAAAACATGCTGAAGCAGAGGCATCCGAGCCATGCGAAACGGTAGACTGCTGAGTTTACTGCCAATGGGTACCCAAGCACAGGAAATACTCCTCTAGCCAAGACATAGGGTACACACAAGGCTGTTAGCAGCTTCATTATTATTGGGAACACAATCTCCCGCAGTACCCAAAAGCCTTGCAGTCTTGAGAAACCATCTTCTCTCACCCTTTCAAATTTTATTCGCCAACTTTCATCCACCAGTGGCATCATCTGGTCCAACATAACCTGTTCAAGCACAAGATTTAATGCTGAGAAAAGAGAACTTTTTCAGTTCATAACTTGGATATCTATGTAGCACATTCAAATCAAAACCTCCTCTTTTTCAGAGAAAAGGTTCCAACATAATACATGAAATAGAATAATTTTGACACCACTACTGTCAGAATCCCAACCCACCATGATAATACCCACTCCTCCCACTCACAACCTCAATGGCAGCAAGACAACACTTCGATAAAACCATCAATGCATTGCAGGTCATTTATGGACCTTATAATAACATGCAGCAGAATTGGGATGAATGAAATGAATATTTTCCTAATCCTCAATCATCTGAAAATAGAATATCTGAAAAATGAATATCGCCACTCTTTTTATTTTTGCACTATTGAACACTAGGCAATCTAAGAAGCAGCAAACATCCTACGGTATCAGAGATCTACTTTTCAGGTATTTGATAGTAAATCACCATGTTTTATCAGGCTAATAATTGCCAATAACAATAGGTTGATCTCGCTGTGAGGCCATCCTGACAATTATTTAGCCATGCGTCAATAATTAAGTGGAACTGCACAATTTGATAACTCACCAGCCGGGTCCAGATCTTGAGAAAGATGAGCCCTAATGCCCAATCCTGGTACAGAAGGAAAACTGGGCTTTCATCTACAGGCACCCGCATAGGCACGATTACCAAAAGCTCGAAGAGCAGCCCAATCAATACCGGAATAACAAAAATCTGGACAACAAACAGCAATTTTAAGTGTTGAGATCAAGAGTTCCTATATATGAGAAACAAGAGAAATGAAAACCATACCCATATTGACAATAGCGCCGAGCTCTTGAGAACAATGCTGCACCACTTCCAGATTTGGTTAAGTAAAACCATTGCCCTCTTTGTTCTAATTTGCTCAATGGAGTATCGTGCTCCAGCTAAAGCAGTCCAAATGACATAACTTCCAATAACAAAAGCATATAAATCTGAGAAAAGACAGAGAACAAGAACAAATCAGCATTCCCATCCCAAATGCATGGTAAAAAAGGACAGCCAAACAAATTCAATCAACCACATTACCATTGCACTTGATGCCGTGAGTTATTGGCAGAAGAGGAATGGCATTGAAAAGAGCACGCCCAAGTGATATTGGAACAACTATCAACGCTGAGTTGAACATAAGTAGAGTCATCCATGCCACCACCAGCAACAGGACAATACGTAGAACAAAACTGTACCTGCTAAAAAACAAACATGCAATATCAGGAAGCAAGCAATGCAGCCTGTCCCATTGACCATAATTAAGTGGAACAACAAGTAAATAATGATAAAAAAATATTAAAGTGATAAAAATGCAACGTTTATAGCAAGTTTTAGCAGTTGATGGTGCACAGAATTGCAATACCAATCAGCACTACATAATTATAAACCAATGCACGATGACATAATAAATAATAAAATTGTAAAGATATCCATGAAATGACATACAACAGAGAATAAGAATATCATGAAAATGCTCTTTTAAGGCCTAAATACAAAGAATCTGTCTGCCCTTGCATTTAAGATTTAGAAGCATTGATCTAAGAGATAGCAGCAATGTCATGGATGATGGAATAATGGCACAGAGACGTAGTGCCAGTAGAGGTCATAGAGGTAGTCTGATGGGGTAGTAGAATATTAGAATCCCTGCTTCCAATTCTTGCTATCAGAAAAATAGAAATCAGAAGGGTACAGGATAATATACAAGTAAAAAGAAAATAAATATAGAAAGGGTATAAGTAGCCAACTTTTAGGGATTATAAGCAATTTTTAAAAATAATGAAATGCAGGTAATAAAGATGTTCAAAAGGGGGGCAGTCTGCAAAGAATGATCAAATTCATACAAGCAGCTGAAAGTGTTAATAATGTAGAACGTTATGCATACTCTGAATCAGATTGTTCATCACCATCCTCCTCCTCTACAGAATTCCCAGCTGCAAGAGTGGTCCTGTTTTGGTCATCTGCAGCTGCAAGGGCCACTAGTGCCCGATCCTGTCCACCTAGTTGCGCAGCCTGTAGTCTATCCTGTCTTCCTTGCTCTGCATTTCCATTGTCTTGACCACCATTTTCCTCAGCTCCAGGCAATAAGAAATCTGTTAAGCCAAGTGCCCAGCCAACTGCTGTAAACCAGTAGTGGAGAAGGGACTTGATTGTGGTCCGCAACTTAAAATGCTCAATGGCAAATGGGATACATATTTGAAAGAGAAGCATGTCAGCTGGAATTTCAGTAAATGGGTCAGATACCCTGAAATAAATATGCATCTATATGTTAGCAAATACAGGTAATAAACAATTTTGGTAACTGCAGAAATGAACAGGTGGTGCCCATAAAGTATGGATTTCTTCTTACGATATGTCCAGTGGAAAAATGGAAGGTGCCGTTCTCATAGCAAGTTTAACAGGTAAGAATACAAGCATCACAATCAGACTTCCATAAACTGCAATAGACAATAAAACTCTGCGAGCATGCTTGTGTACAGGATCATCAATTAGATCACGGAATGGGTTGTAGTTAGGATCTGCTGGGTCTCGAAGAAAATACAAAACCCCGTGGCGCAAAACCTGCAAACAGCAAGGAACAAGAAGAAAGATTATCAATGCTATTGAACCACATCATCAGCTATTTGAATTTGAATTATGATAACATGACTGAAGAAATACCCCACGAAGAAGGCTCACGAAGATGCTGATTTGTAGCATGTAAACAATTCCTACAACCCAATGAACTAATGAGCTTGCTAAAGGAGATATTGAGAAGAATTGAACTCTTTGAGCCATAGACTTTCCAAACATCCTTATGGTACAAACATCCAGCCACCATCCACACATCAAAGGGAACACCCCAAGTTCGATAACTAGAAGGAAGGCAACCTTAATCATGGTCATCAAATGTCTCATTGCTGCCAAGAACTGCCGGAAGAGGGATGGAATTGTCTCTGCTATAGAAGCAATACCGTAAAACCTCCCCATAGTCAAAGGTTCACCCTTAGTGTACCGAATTAAAGCAACAATACCAAGATACAAGAAGACTATAGAGAATATAAACATGTATCCAATAGCAAGAGTTGTGACATCAGAAAGCCGTGACGTGCCAACACTTGCCCCTTTTAGGAGATCCGCAGAAAGCGGACTGCTTATGTTATTTGAAACTTCATTTAGTCCACTGGCATTTACATTCAACATCTCTGCAACCTGACCAAGAACTCCACCATCTTCACCTTCAGATGTCAAATTCGCAACAGCAGTTAATGCATTCTTTAATGTGATATTCGCTAAGGAGAGGGCAGTAT